ACCCTGGTGCGCACCCAGTTGGGCACCACGCACCCAGCCACGTCAGCACAGGGGACCTTTCAGCTTCCAACCGCAGCAAGCACTGCACGTATAGCCGCCAGGCAGCTCATTCTTTGTTGACGTCATGGTGACTGATGCCACGTTCATGCATGGCAGCACAGCAAGCAGCGTTTGAGTACTTATTATCAACCATCTATCCTTTGTGCCACATTTCGGTGCTGCAATAGAGTGGTATGTGCGTGCTGTGAGTTCAGCTAAGCAGCATGCCGCAACCTGTGTCACGGGGCGGGCGCACCCGGTGTCCCGCGCCCTTTTTGCGCGTATTTGAGCTTGGCGGCTGTACTCCCTCGTTAAGCGCCAAGGCTCCTGCCTAAGTAGTGCGGTGGCGCTGGCGCGTCGAATGGCAGCAAGCGGGTGCGCGGTTGGCAGGCAGCCGTGCCGCGGCGCGAACGCTATTTGAACGTGGGAGATGTCCGTTCTCTGCGTCGTACGAAGCGGCTGTGAAAGACATCCTGAAAGGGCACACCCAAGACTCAACACCGCAGCTCCCTCGCCCTCCCGCACCAGGCTGGGATGGCGCGGCAGTCGTCACCCACAGTCGGCGGACAACCGCCAAGGGCAAACGAAGGGCAAGGATTGCACAAGGTGCGATTGGATACTTGAATCCGTATTTGGCTGCATAAAATTTCACATATCGTGGCTCCTATCATCTTGCGGCAAGAGTGCGCTTTCAGATCATCGCATACTATACAGCCCAGGCCCGAACGGCACTTTGTTTCCAGTCAATTTACAGTCTCATATTTGATGACGCGTTCGGTATGCTTGCAGCTGCCCTCCTGCGGTCCCTGGCTGCGTTGACCGGGGTTGCGGCCTCGCAGCTGGCGCAGCATCTGCACGCACAACAGCGGTGGCGCAGAGCACGCGCAAGGCACCTGCAACAAGCCGGCTTTTGAAAGCGGGTTTCACATCTTGATCATGTCGGCGTCCCGGCCGCGTGCTCCGTGAGTTGCAATTGCAGCAGTTTCCGCACGCAGCGGTGATGCAGGGGGGGGGGGCGCAGGCCGCGTCAGCAGGCCTTGGGATGGAGGGACACCGCGCCCGCTTCGTGGACACTTGCTGCAAGCATTGTCTGTCCCCTGGAATTGATCGGAACACAGGGGGCCCATCGCATGGCGTTCTGCCCTGAAGAACACCATCTACGACGTGCTCAAAGCACGCGATGGCTGGCAGGAGGTGGATGAAGGCGCTGAGTGGGACTTCTTCTGGGCGGACAAAGGGTGAGTCACCAGGAGCGCAAGGCGGGGCGCGTTGCGTCAAATAATCAGCCGTCAAGACGCACCGCATGGCGGCCAGACTGTTAAAGTATGGGCGTTGAGCACCTGTGTGGGCGGGCGAGCCGGGCCGCAGCCTGGAGGCAGCTCTCGTCCGGGGGGTGGGCAGCGCGCTTGCACTGCGGCCGTCAATTTACACCTGCTCTGTCTCCTCCATGATGCAGCTGGATCCACAACGAACTGGACAAAATCCACCTGTCAGATTGGCAGCGCGTCAACCACTACCCAAACCACTATGAGCTGACGCGCAAGGACCTGTTGCTGAAAAACCTCAAGAGGACCAAACGGCAGCTGGAGAGAGAGGTAAGGCGTTGTTTCTGGATAGAGCACATGATGCAAGGCACCAGGGGCCAGTACCAGGACACAAGGGGCGAGCGTGATGCAGCGCAGGGTGGAGAGCCGGCATGGAAACGCCGGCTGATGGCGCCCTCGGGCGTGCGGGGGGCACCCATCTCCGGGATGTCATGACCAGCAACATCAGCCGCGCCCCTGGACCACATGCAATTTGTCGTCATGTCACAATGTGATCCCCCATCAACGTGTGCTTTTTTTGTTGGCTTGCGGCCTAACGCCCTGCCTCTCAACCCACGTTGGGCCATGCCAGGACCGCGGCATGGAGGCCGCACTGTACGGCTTCTTCCCGCAGACCTTTGTGGTGCCCAGCGAGTACCGCATGCTGGTGGAGGAGTTCAGGCGGCGCGGGGGGACGTGGATCATGAAGCCCATTGGGCGGGCCCAGGGGCAGGGCATCTTCCTCTTCAACAAGCTCAGCCAGGTTCACGGGTTGTAGGTTCAGGGGGTGCGGCGTGGCCCATGAGCAGGTTCATCAACGCACATAATGTGAAGTGTTTGCACGACAGCGCAGAGGCCAGCAGCACCCGAACCCTGCGTAAAATGGCATTGGCGCCGTCTCCTCAACCAATGAAGCTCAAGCAGGGCATGTTCGTGTCAGACGTGTGTGATCTTACCCTGTATTGCAATGTTGAATGCTTTCCGCACCGGATATCATGTCCACAGATCAGTGATTGGCGGCGAGACCACACCTGGAAGCCGGAGGACGAAGAGCAGGCAGAGACATACCTTGCACAGAGGTGAAGAGTGATGATCTCACTGTTTGCGGGACGGGTTGGATGGAAGAGGAAGAGACTTTCAGTAAGACATTGTTTTGAGCCAAAAAGCTGGTGAGCTGGTGCATGAAGTGAGAGAAGAACCACACAGCAAACTTGTACTGTGCATGCAACCCCCCATAGAGACGCCCGTGAGCCCACTTGGTTCTTACCGCGCCCTTGTCACATTGACATGTTTGAATATTGATTCAACCCACAAAACAAAACAGGTATGTGGACAGCCCATATCTTGTGGGCGGCAAGAAGTTTGACCTACGAATCTACGCCCTCGTCACCAGCTACAGCCCCTTGCGAATCTACCTGTACAGGTGAATTTGAGCAGTGCCGGAGGACTCTGTCCAATTGTGTCCCACATTTAATGAACATTACTTGACTGGCCGCATCGCTGGCGACTTGCTCCTTTTTGTGTCACCCTGGCCGCCCAAGGCGACACACGTAGATGACTTGTCCTCTCCATTGCCAATGCTTGTAGGAGCGGCTTCGCGCGCTTCACAAATGCACGTTTCAGTATGCGCAAGGAGGACATCAGCAACACATTTGTGCATCTCACCAATGTAGCCATTCAGAAGCACGCCCCAGGCTTTGACAGGGCCAAGGGCATGAAGTGGTCGATACGCAACCTGCGAATGTACATGCTCACGCGACACGGTGAGCCAGCTCCCGTCTGGCGCAACGCGGGCGTCTGGGAAGGACATCACATAGATCGCACGCACCTCATATCACACCCCTTGCAGCGCGTTGGCTGCGCACATTGAGTTGTCCTGACCCAGCTCTGGGCGCACTCTCACGCACGCGTGTGCTCAGGCCCCACTGCGACCAACGAGCTGTTTGGTGCGATCCAGGGGCTCATTACTCGCACCCTGCTGGCGGTGCAGCCTGCCATCATCAATGACCGCCACTGTTTTGAGGTGCCGTGGGCCTTGTGGGGGGATGCAGGGTAGTACAGCGCGGAAAGAACCACAGGGGCGGGAGGGTTTCTGACCACGTTGCGAGGGTACTCATGACCGGCGGTCTCTGCCGCACATGTGTCACACTGATAAAGACATGCTTGCACGCGTGAAGTCCCCCGTGCATGCACGTGCAAGCGCGCGCGCGTGCGCACACGCACACACACACACACACACACACACACACACACACACACACACACACACACACATGCACACATACACACACACATGCACGCGCGCATGCAAATCACCCATACTTCAAGGACATCCAAGCAGCAACACTCACCCCACCCCCACCCCTTAATCTAGTTGTACGGCTACGATATCCTGATAGACTCGACTCTGAAGCCGTGGCTGTTGGAGGTCAATGCGTCGCCGAGCCTGTCAGCCAGTGACAGGGCAGACTGGACACTCAAGTTCGGCATGCTCAATGTGAGAGGGACGGTTAGAGGGCGGGAGGGGGGCAACACGCACCTGGCAAGCAGTTTTCCAGCTGCCAGGTTGGCAAGCAAAGGGGCTGGCCGTCCAGAACACCGTGCAAAATGCTCAGCACAGATCCAGCTGCGCCCGGCTGCCAGCGCAATCGTTTTCAATTACTTGAAGGTGACAGGTGCGTGGCGCTTTAGTGGGGGGCAATGAAAAGAGGTACTGCAGGTGCAATCAACCTTGTTTTCAGCCCAGTTGCAAGCAACCAGTGCTGGCACGCCCCACCCCACCAGGACATGCTGGACATCCTGGATCTGGAGGGCCGCCGGGAGGCTGGCAAGTATCCCAGCCAGCAGGGCGGCTTCGACCTCATATGGGACAGCGGAGCGCTGCAGGGCTGCGACCCCGGGCGGCCCGCTTCCCTGCCCAGCATGCTTGGCTGCTACAACCCACATGATGCAAACCAACTGCGGCAGTCGCTCGAATTCGCCGGGGACGGGGTCACGCTGCGTGCTGAGGAGGGGGACACGGAATGGCGGCAGCTGGCGGGCGTGTCAAGCAGCAGCGGGGGCTATGATGCTGGGCCGGGATGAATGCCGCGGGCAGGCTACAACCTTGGCGTACGGGCAGAGGCTTGCAGAGCTTATAGCTGTTGCAGGCTGGTAATGTGAAGTTTGCATATCACTGGGCTTGTTGTCCACTTCTTGATCAAGCTATTCTATATTGGCAATCGAGCGGCAGAGATGGCTGAAAATTTTGTGATCACAGAAAACGGGAGCATCTTTCAAATGCTTACTTTGCAGGTGGATGGCAGAGAAGAGGAAGGCCTGCCCCGCCCCTTACCCTGAGCGCATCAGGCGCGCTCGGCCGCAGCCTCAAAGCGGACTGTTGGGCGGCTAGTGTGGGGTAATGTTGCCGCCAGACCCCGTCTTGCTCAGAATTCATGCCAGCTGAAGGCAGCTGGCCGCCCCGGGCAGGGCTCCTGAGACAACACGCAAGTCGCGCCTGCCCGATGGTACCCACGCGCCACACCGCAAGCACCCCCGCGACTTGGATCCAGCTTGTCTGCAGGTACCTGCAGTACGTCTTTTTGAAGCTGGAGCAGATATGAGGAGTATTGGTTGTGGACCCGCTCGATGCGGCTAGGACCAGCCCAAGCCAGTGCAAGGGGCGCAATGGGCAAGCAGCACGAGCACCTGCAGGGCACTACGGTACGGAGTGGCCATGCGGAAACCACAAGGCATGCGCTGTTGGCATGCAACGCGCTGATCGAGGCATAAACTTATTATTTCAAGTAATGTTGACGCAGAAACGCCACGGGGGGTCGTGTTGACTGATCTCCATCACCGCGAGGGAGTCCTGCTGCGTCGTGATGGCCCCCGCCGAAAGTCAGAAGTAGTGGCAGAATGTCTGCTGCTGTCAAGAACGCCGAATCAGGCCCCAAGGGCGGCCCCGTCAGCGGGAAGGGCGGCCGCGCCGTGGTGGGCGGCGCAGCGCCTGCGTCGCTTGTTGACGTGTTCCCACTGTGGGAGGCTGCGGCCAATGAGAAGGAGGCACCAGGTGTGATGTCTGCCAAGATACGGGGCATGTGAGAACGACCTGTTGGTTTGCCATCAAGCGTGTTTGGATGAGGCCTGCATGCAGGCACAGCGGCGGGCATCAAAGGGGATGGCGCGCACGTATCTAATGCACTTCACATGAACGCGTCCACCATGCATGGTGCCACGAGCGCGCAGTGCCTTTGGGGCTGCCCACCACCGCCAGCGTGCCGGCCGACAAGTACGAAGACCCCTTGGGCCTGGCGCTGCCCCCGGCATCACTGCCATTTTTGGATGCCTGGAAGCGCCCGGATGAGCTGGTGCAGGGCGCTCCCAGCGTGCCAGTTGTGCTGCTGCGACCAGCAGCTGATGGTGGAGTTATCAGTGCCGGCACCGCCATGGCCGGTGGTAGCAGCGGCGGCTTGGTGGACAAGAAAGGTGGGGTGTGCTTGATGGAGGAGCATCTGGCTACGTGTATTTCTTGGCAATGCAGCAAATCAGATGCATGCATTCTCAGCTGTTGCATCTGCCTGATTGGCGTTGAGGCAAAAGCCAAACGTCTCTCGGCACGCAATGCACAGGTGGAAGTGGCAAGCCCGCTGTTCCAAGCGCTGCAGTGGCCAACCGCGACATGGAGGGGCGGCTTTATGCAGGCCACGAGAGCTTTGACTGGCTGCTTGCCGTCATCAACGCCGTCACAGCAGCAGAGGTGAGCAATCCTTGGTTGCAGGCGATCTACAAGAAGACAAGGGGACTGCCATGACGCAATTCAACGCTGCATTGAAAGTGCTGCTGATTGCGTGTGCTGGGCCTGGGTAGAGAGGCAAGCAGTTCCATGGCAGTTGGCTTGGCCGCATCTTGTGTGAGCAATCAGCTCTTTGTTGCTCTACAGCGCAACCTGAGACGGGGTGACTACTTATGGGAGCTCATCGCAAGCGGCCAGAAGGAGAAGGACGGCCCGCTGACACGCAGGTAGGCACCAGTGCTGGGCGCAGCATTGTGGACGCCGCCACCGCTGCGGGATGATGGCTGTCAGGTCGCCAGTGTGCGCTGCTGTGGCAACAGCTGGCAAGCTTCGCGCGTGCAGGCAGGATGGAATGAAGTGGGCCTGCTGCCACAGCGGCTGCCTAGCTCATGCCATGCACGTCAGGTGACGTCCAGATGGCATCCCTTGGCTGGAAGGGATCCACGCGTGTGCTCTCACCCCTCATACCCCTTGATGTGACCCTGCCTCTGCTTCATCCCGTGTCCGCCCAGTGCGTCCGGCCGTTACCGCGTGAAGCTGTGGATACTGGACGCGTGGCGCGCGGTGACAGTTGACGACCGCATCCCAGTTGACCTGTTTGGTGCGGAATGGCGGCACCAAGGGGGGGAGTACCGGGGGACATCAAGACGAACGCGTATGATGATGTGGGGCCAGGGTGCGGGGCTCACCTATGCCCCTGGGGGATGCAGCACGTTCCAAGCTGGCTTTCGGAGGGTTTATCTGTGCTGCTGCCATTGCCTGAACCGCCCATCACCACCTACGGCTGATTTCAGGGCGGCCACTGCTGGTGGGTGCGCGGCCCCTGCAGCTGTGGCCGCTGCTGTTGTGCAAGGCTGTGCTCAAGGTCATGGCCACCTTCCGTGTGCTCCACCTGGGCCTACCACACCAGGTGGGGAGAAACACGGCTTGGACTCTCACAGTGGCGCGTGCCGCCCAGCTTCAACGCAGGAGACACACAAAGCCGCATGCCTGCCCCGTAAACCCCTCCTCATCTGACTTTATTCGGGCCTCGACGCTCTTTTCCAGGTAGCTGCATTCACAATGCTGACGGGCTGGGCGCAGGAGGACCTGGTGGACAAGCTCTCGGGTGAGGCGATCTGGGCAGGCGGCGCTGGCTGGGGCGGCATGCAGCGACACGAAGATCGGGCGCAGGATTGACTGGCCTGGCAGCCAATAGCTGCTTCTCGAGCTCATTGCCTCGCCATCATGAATTCAGAGGGGCTTGCACCAACGGCGCCGCGGCTCCCTTCCCTTGGTCCATGGCGCATGCGTGTATGCAGGTCTGCCTGCTGAAGGCGGCTTCCTGTTGGACCGCCTCGAGGATGCCCTGGGCTGGGGCAGCCTGCTGCCAAATTTCCCACCTGCCACGCTCGCCCCGCCGCCCCCGCTCACGCCGCCGGCCGGTGGTGCTGGCGGCGGTCGAGCGGCCATGGCGGCCGCTGCTGCAGCGGTCACACCTGCAGTAGCTGATGCGACGGGTGCAGCTGCGTGGCAGCAGCAGCCAGCAATTGTGACATGCTGCCTCAAGCGCCGCAGCAAGCCGGATCGCAACCCGCCGCGTATAGTGGTGCTGTGCGGGCCTGGAGCTGTGGGGCGTGGGCGGCTGGCACGGCAGCTGGTAGCGGACTACCCTGACCGCTTTGGCATGACGATCAGCAGCACCACGCGGCTTCCCAGGGAGCACGAGGTGGACGGCAGGTGAGGGGGCAGAGGTCGGCACTGCAGTGCGTGCTGACAACAGAGAAGCGATTGCCCGCAGGCTATGAATACAAACTGTGGCTGCGCCATTGCAGCTGCTGCTTGTGAGTTCTACACTTTCAACACCATCAAGTTGCGGCGATTTTGAGCTTTCTGTGCAGCTTGTGGCCACCGCCCCTCAAACGCCGCACCACTTGCCCCTGCAAGTCAGAGCAACTTGCAACGTGTGTTTTTTGCCCCAAACACAATTGCTTTTGCTCCACTCCAGGGATTACTACTTCACAAACAAGCGGTCTCTGCTGGCAAGGGTCAGGGCGAGCGACTTCCTCGAGGCAGCCCGCGTTGACACGGGTGCGATGACACGGGTGCAAAAATCTGGTCTCACTTGGCCAGTTGGCAGGTGTCAGCGCGCCCCCGAGAGAATTGAAGCGTACATGTCATCATACTCCAGCGACCGAATCAATCAAATACCACCCATCTTGTTTGACACCTGCTGCAGTGCCTGGTGCCGCTTGTGCTGCCACCAGCTCGCACTGGTTTGGAAGCAGTCTGGCCACCCTGCGAGAGGTGGCAGCCACGGGCCGCCTGTGTGTCATGAGGCTTGATCTGCAGGGCGCACAGGTCAGCAGGGCGTAAGGATGCGTGGCGTGGGGTCAGCAAGCATGCCTTGCAGCCTCCAGTATGTCACAGTTGACGCTGTGTATGGCGGTTGTCTGCTGCACAAATGTTGTGTTGGGATGGCAAGAGCAGATCTACGCAAAGGACCACGCACCTGCAACCTCCCCTCTTGACCCACAACTAAACAGGCCTTGCGCTCCAACCCGCGCATCGACGGCCTCTACGTCTACGTTACAACCTCCTCGCCTGAGGTGAGAGGCATCACACACACACACACACACACACTCACACACACACACTCTCTCTCACACACACACACACTCACACACACACACTCACATGTTGCTGAACGCCCGATTGTAACCCCACACGCAAGTGGTGCTGGATGCAACATTCTATGATTTCCCGCACCTCCTATCAAACTTTGTTTTGTTGCAATGTTGACTTACTTTGATGGCTGTGTGCTGCTTGCCTTGCCCTGCAGGTGCTGGAGCATCGGCAACGTGCACGGCTGAAAGAGGCGGAAAGCACTGTGGCCAAGCGCCTGGCATGGTCCAAGGCGCAGTGCACGCGGCCGTCTGAGGCAAGGGGCGTGTTTGACCATGTTGTCATCAACGCCGACGACCAGGGGCAGGTGGGTTGCTTGGCGGTTGAAAGGTGTGCTGGTCGGCTGGCTGAACCGGATTGCCCAGCACGTAACAGGGAGGCTGCCCATTTGATGAGTCTTATGGACCTTGTACAGGATGGTTGACTACCTGAACAGTATACACGTGATATGCTGCTCTGTAGCATGTGCAGCGTCTGAGCTTTTGGCCACCCACCACCATCAACCAACGAGTGGCTGCCAAAAAAAGCTGTAGCTTCGCCTCCCTGATTATTTAACCCCACCGATATGCATACCCAAAACTCCATTCCGCATTCCTCGTCTGGCGGCAGGTGTATGCTGCGCTCAAAGAGGCCATCAGTGGCCTGAGCCCCGTCATCCGCAACCGCCTGAGGGGCCTGCCCGCCTATGTCTTGGACTACTCTGACCTCATAGCACCAAACAGGTTACATCCTGATGGCTTCTAGGGGCGCGATGCATGCTTGAGGCTAGGACAAGCTTCCCCAGCTGCTTAGAAAGTGCGCGCCTTGCCTGATCAGGAGACCTGCACCTCCATACAAGGCGTCGTCGCTTGCAGGCATGCCTCATTGACCGCCCTCCAATAAACATCCCTCGTCCCTTATCACGCAGCGTTGAGAAGCCCTTCCTGAAGCCGGTAGTGCTTGTTGGCCCCGACACGGGGGAGCGCTCTGTGCTGCTGGCGCGCCTGGCGGACGAATTCCCAGACGTGTTTGCCTTCCCACGAGCCCACACAACGTATTCCCTGGATGAAGAGCTGCGCATGCATGTAGCAACAGATGGTACGTGTCTCCCAGGGTTTGATGAGACTCGATGCTTGATATGCTTTGACCCGAACTCGCAAATGCAAGCTGACAGCATGATCCTCATTTGATTTTTCATGATTTTTCAACCATTTGTTGACCTCTCGTGCAGGCGACGAGCTGGGCCTGCCTGAGACTTCTCAGTCCTTCCGCTTCTGCAGCCCGCGAAACATTGAAGGAGCCATGGGGCCCGGGCCCACTGACGCAAATTGCGCGATTGAAGGCGGCGGGCAGGCACCGCCCCCTGTCGTGCTAGACAAGGAAGAATTTGATGCGTATGTAGCTAGCGGCAGGTTTTTGGAGTGGCACCCAGACCTCTTCACGCACCCTCTGGCGGCGCACCGAACTGGCTACATCCCAGAAGACGTGTGTGCGGTCATCCAAGAGGGTGGGTGGTCCAACAGCGTGGGCGTTCATGGCGTGTTTGTGCTCGGCTGGGTGCGGAGCAGAAAACGGCCATTGCCCGTGCGCACGGCGGCTGATTACAAGGCGACGACGGTGATGAGGGTGATTTGCTCAGGGTCATGTCCTGGAGCTTCGAAGTTGAGGTGGCCTACTGGTCCGACCACGCTGAGCTTGGTGTACTCGTGTGTGCTGCACACTCGGCGTGTCGTGCTCTGTACCAAATTCAGTGCCATTGTATTACTTGCACGCATGCTGCCTGCAGGCAAGCTGCCGCTGTTGCAGCTGGAGGCAGAGGGGGCAGAAGCGCTCAAGGCCAAGGGGGTGGACTGCCTGGCGGTGTTCTTGATGCCACCCAGCCAGGAGGTGCATGAGGCCCGGGTTCGGCGGTGGCTGGCAGAAAGTGATACAGACATCGCAGCGCGTCAGGTGGGCGTCTCCTTGGTATCCATGGGCCGTGCTCTGTGTTGAACGAGGTCATGGAAGCCCAGCACCAAGTCCTTGAGAATCGCTCACATAGTAGCACCGGGTGATGAGAACGGTGGTGGGAGCATGTTTGTGCTGGTTTGGGCACTGCAGCATGCGTGGTGCGACAAGCAACTCTGTCCAATCTGCTGTCCAACAGGCAAGCTGGATGAACACACCCAAGGTCCACTGTCGATACTCTCTTGACCCACACAGGCTGCTGCTAAGGCAGAGCTTGAGTGTGCACGCGCCTGTGGTGCCTTCGACGCCTGCATTGTCAACGACGACTTTGATGACGGCTACGCGTCACTCAAGGCTGCCATCAGCAAGCTGCGCCCCGACATAATCCCGCCTACACCGCAATCAGCTCCTGCAGCAGCGATGGCCGCAGTTGCAGCCGCTGCGGCCGCAGCAGGCCATGGCGGGGGAGCTGCTAAACGCCCTCCAGCGCCACCGCTGCTGCTGTGTGGCCCTGCTGGCGGCGGGCGCGAAGCACTGGCGAATCAGCTTCTCTCACGGCTTCCGGATGTGTTTGTCATGGCGCCACGCATTACCGACCGCAAGCCTGCACCTCAGGCTGCTGCTTCAGCGCCACCAGGCGCCAATAAGGCGCTGACAGGCCCAGCTGGCCTTGGCACCGTCGGCGGCGCTCATGCAGCAGAGGCCGAGGTGGTCAAGCCGGAAATGATGGCCAAGATGGCAGCTGCCGGGCAGCTAGCGCTGACCTGGCAAGACCCAGCTGGAGGGCAGGTCGCGGTGACTGTCGAGGCCCTCAAGACCTTGTCTGTCGCAGGTGGGAAAACGCGGGCAGGCGGAGCTTGGTTGGCACCAGGCGCAAAATTAAAAGTTATGCAGGAAGTACTGCAAGTGTCACCAACAATGACATCACCGTGTGTGCCATGTGTCCCTCTGCTCACACATTATGACGAGGTGTTGTTGAGGCTTGCCCACAAAACTCCATGCAGGCAAGGTTGTTATTTTGGAGGCATCCACTGTTGAGCAGGCCACTGCTCTTAAGCAGCTCTCAGCGGCAGCAGTGGCTGCAGCAGCGGCGTCCGCCCCTGCGTCCACGGCTGCTGCATCCAACACTGCTATGCCTGGCAGCACCGCCGCTGCTCCCATAAGCCCCTTGGGCCTACTCTACAGTGTGTTTGTTCTGCAAACGACAGTGCTGCGGTCAGCACAGCCAGAAGGAGAAGGGGACGCAGTTGTTGCCGCTGCACACGCGCAGGCGGCGGCTGCGCGCGCATCAGGCGTATTTCAGGTAATTGTTGGCCTCCTTTTGAAACAGTGTTGACTCGGCTTGCAATGACCTCCGCTGTGCGTGTGTTGCAGGCGGCTCCGTCCACCCTGTCCCCGCCCTTTTCTCTGCCTATCTCATCAATCAACGCGTCGCATTCCCAGCGCCAGCACCTTCATGCCACACCTACATATGGCTTCTACGTTTGGTTGCTATCAACCTCAGACCTTTATTGAGAGCGAAGACCCCGACGAGGCGGCTGCTCAGCTGCAGTCTGCCTTGGCAAGCGTGTCCCCCCTGGTGCCCCCCCTGATGGAGCCCCTGGTCGTGGTCGGCCCCTTTGGCGGGGGCAAGCGTGGAGTGCTGGCGCGATTGGCTCGGATGCTGTCTGGAAAGCTGGCAGCTGCACCTGTGTTGACGACCAAGGACCGGGCGGCAGGAGACACTGGGGATGGTAGGTGGTGACAAAGGCCAGGCGGCATGTGACGGTACAGGCTGTTGCAGTCTCAGACAAGATAGCACGGTCTTGTCAGAAAATCAAGGAAGCCCTTTCTGCATTCCACAATAGCCCATGGCAGCAAGCAATTTGTGTATGCAGCAACTCACATACCTCTCCTCTCCCCATGACTACGCACTCCCAGACATGATGGTGGTAGCTCATGATACGGCGGCGCGCATGGTGGCCTCAGGGGAGCTGCTGCTTCACGAGAAGGTAGGGCCAGGGAAAGCATTGACGATTGTTTCGGGGCAAACGCGCTGCCACTTGGTTGAGTTCGCTCCGGCTGAAGAGTTGCCGTGCTCACCTATTCCAGCACCATGACCGTGCAACTCCAGGTGAGGGTTATGACCATGCCTGTTACCCTGCAGGTCCTGGGCCACACATACGGTGTCCCCGCCACGCCGGTGCGGCGCCTTGTTGCGGCCGGCAAGCTGGTCCTGCTGGACCTGGACAGGGTGGAGCAGGCACAGCAGCTCAGGGCAGCAGGGTTCAAGGTGCGACAGACTGCGTGGGGAAAGGGGGGGCTGTGTGTGCTTTGTGTGAGGGAGTTGGGGTTGTGGATTGCAGCAAAAGGCTCTATTGCATCCACAGGTGCCTTTGACATAAACAGTTGCCAGAACAGTGGTGTTTGCTGCACCAAACCGTGTCTCCACAGGCAAAAGTCGTGCTGCTGCGGCCGCCTTCCTTGGAGGCCCTCAAGCGGCGGCTGCGCCGCGATGTCCTCGCCAACCCGCCTCTCGGCTACGACCCTGGGGTGGCGGCCGACGCAGTCTGGGCACAGGCAGAAGCCGAGGTTGCGGCGAGCCAGGCGGCTGACGAGGCCGGCGCATTTGACGCGGCTGTGACTGTGGACCCAGAGGTGTGCAAGGGGTGATTGCATCAGGAATATGATGGGTTTTGCAGTACAATGAAGGTTCAAGACCTTTTGGCCAGCAAAGTATGCTCGTGGGCTCCAACCCACCAGATGATGCGTGCCAATTGCTGAGCAGCACAAATTGGCAACTTTGCCCCTCCAACGCTGCGGTCTGTCCACAGGCCCCTGATGCAGCAGTTGCAATGCTGGCCGAGGCCCTGCACAAGTTTTACCCAGCAGCAGTGCCCGACTCCCTCATCTGGGGCTACGGGCAGCCGCTGTGGGACGCACGCTGCCGTGTGTATGGCCGCAAGCCGCTGAGGGTGGTAGTGCTAGGTCCGGCAGGAAGTGGCAAGTCGACGCAGTGCGAGCTGCTGGCACGCAGGTGACGGCCCATGCCAAGCGGGGGCCGCAGGCTGGAGGATTTGAAGGGCCATGTGGCATGGTGCAAAGTTGTGTCTTGGGGGTGCCAGGGTAAAGGCGTGCGCCGGGGTTGTCCGTACCATGGCGTTACCCGACACAACAGCCCCGCTAATCCTTTCATTTGCACTGATCAATGCGTGAATTGCAGGTTTGGCCTACCCTGCGTCAACGCGGGGGAACTGCTGCATTCTGAGGTGCAGCGCCGCACCCCTGTGGGGCTCGAGGCAGAGCGCTTTATGCATGGCAGCCGGACTGTACCCGACAGGTGGGTCCCTGTGTAGCTGGTTGCGGGACTCGTGCACGTTGACGCGTGACATGGCGCGTGAAGCAAGGGGTACTGGGCCACCCAGCTGGCAAACAAGGTCTGTCCTGCGTTTGGTCTGCGGCAGCAGGACTACTCCTCGAGATCAGCGGACCTGATGTGAACCGGCTCTCGTGCGGTCCAGGTTCTTCAAGCAGCTGGTGTCTGAGCGGCTGTCAGCGCCCGACTGCCAAGCTGTCGGCTGGGTGCTGGATGGCTTTCCGCACACCAAAAGCCAGGCAATGTGGCTGTTTGCGGCCGGCCTTGCTCCAGACAAAGTTATCATCCTGGAGGGCAGCCATGCGCTGCTGATGGAGCGCATCAGGTGCGTGGCACAGGGCAAGGTGTGGAAGCGGAGTCAGCTGGGCGCAGCGCATCGCAAGAGTGCCCTGGAACCGAGGCCAGCACCAATTATTGCCGACCGCCCCCCCCCCCAGCACTCTTGCGCACTAATTAGACAATGCCGCGCCGTGCTTCAATGACGATGCCCTCGCGCAATCAGGCACCGTCGTGTGGACTACACCACTGGCCGCACGTACCATATCCTGCCTGAGGGTGGCGCGACGCCACTTGGGCACAACACCCCTGCAGGCACGAACCCCGCCAGTGCATTGTTGCCTGCAGCTCCGTACAGTGAGCCAGTGCACCCCCTCCGGGCGGATGGCAGCGCCGATAAGGAGGTGCTGGCTCGCCTGGAGGTGCGGCACGACGACTCTGACGAGAACGTGGCGCGAAGGCTGGCGCTGTGGGACCTGCAGGTGCGAATCAGGCTCCCATGGCTGCCACACTTGGGGGCTGAGTGACTGCCTTGCCTGCCTCTGGTGGGATAGCTCTCTGCAAGGTGCTCGACTGCAGCCGCTGGGGAAGGCCTGGAAGGACAGGTGGGGGCCACAGCACCCTGCGCTATTGCCTGTGCGGAACGTTCTTTGTGTGCCAACCTCCGAGCAGGTCAAGGGCCTGAGGGAGGCGTTTCAGGATGTGACACTTCGCACCCCTTGCAAGAGTGGCGTGGCCCAGGTGCAGCAGGGGTTTGCAGGCGTGTTGCAACCAGCTGGTCAGGTAGATGCCAAATAGAGCTCAGCTTTATGATCAACCTGGGCAAGGATTACAATCCCAGAAACAGCGCACGCTACCCTTGCAATCAACTTAGCATCAACATTTCCTCGCCCAACTTCAGGTGTGCGAGGCGATTGAGAGCTTCGTGACACTCGAGGCACGGCTGGGGCTAGCCGGCACGGAACCGGAGGTTATTCCATCATGGCAGCTGCCCGAGCTGACTTACAGGGTCCTGAGCGTGGCCAGGTGAGCACACTAGGCCCTGGCCCAAACGATGCGCTGTGCTTGACAACTGCATTTGTTCCGTTCAGCCTGGTGCTGATCATGCCGCCACTTGCTCGACTTTGCCGGGACCGCACGCCAACGCACTTCTGCTCACTCTCACCTGCACGCACCTCCATCCCCTTGAAGGCACAAGGGGCGTCAGCTAGTTCGCCTCCAGGCTTCCGACGGCGCTGCTACCTGGTGTTGTGCCAAGGAGCTTGCAGAAAACAGCAGCTGTATGCTACTCCACCACAACGCTCACGGGCTGCCGTACGTGCGCCTGCTGCGCCGCGGGGACGGCGGGCGCGTGCCCCAGGAGCACCTTGTCAGGGTCTGCTCGCGGGAGCCCGTCTCCCTGCTCTGCTCACTGGCTATGGGCCCACAGCACCCACTGCCGATGGCACCTGCGGGAGCGAAGACTGCCGGTGCTCGCAAAGTGGCGGTGCTGTGC